CTGCCTCAACCTTCTGAGTAGCTGGGACCACAGGGGCGCCCCACCATGCCTAGGTAATTTTATATTTTTAGTAGAGATGAGGTTTCACTGTGTTGCCCAGGCTGGTCTCGAACTCCTGGCCTCAAGCAATCCTCCTCTTGCCTCAGCCTTCCACAGTGCTGGGATTACAGGAGTGAGCCACCACACCCAGTCAGATTTTTTTTTTTTCATATAAAACATTAACCCTTGCATAGAGGAAACCCAGCAACTTTAGAACATTGATTGTTCCTGGGGAGAGCTAGAGAGGCTTTAATGTATCTATCGTATTTTATTTCTTTTTCTTTTTTTTCTAATTTTTTTAAGACCGAGTTTTGCTCTTGTTGCCCAGACTGGCGTGCAATGGCGCAATCTCGGCTCAATGCAACCTCCACCTCCCAGGTTCAAGCGATGCTCCTGCCTCAGCCTCCCAAGTAGCTGGGATTACAGGCACGTACCACCATGCCCAGCTAATTTAGTAATTTTTTTTCTGTAGAGACGGGGTTTCTCCATGTTGGTCAGGCTGGTCTCGAACTCCTGACCTCAGGTGATCCACCTGCCTCTGCCTCCCAAAGTGCTGGGATTACAGGCAGCCACTATGCCTGGCCATTATTTCTTTTTTTAAAAAAACCCTGAAACTAATGGGATAAAATAATATCGTTTGTTAAATCTAGATAGTTGTCTATTGAATTAACTCCTGAAGATTTAAAACATTTCACCTTTCACCTTTTTTTTTTTTTTTTTTTTTTTTTGAGACGGAGTCTCGCTCTGTCGCCCAGGCTGGAGTATAGTGGCTGGATCTCAGCTCACTGCAAGCTCCGCCTCCCTGGGTTCACGCCATTCTCCTGCCTCAGCCTCCCGAGTAGCTGGGACTACAGGCGCCTGCCACATCGCCTGGCTAGGTTTTTGTATTTTTTTAGTAGAGACAGGGTTTCACCGTGTTAGCCAGGATGGTCTCGATCTCCTGACCTCGTGGTCCACCTGTCTCGGCCTCCCAAAGTGCTGGGATTACAGGCTTGAGCCACCGCGCCCGGCCCATTTCACCATTTTTAAACATTACAAAATAACATGTTTTATGATAGTAGAGAGCAGACATAGCTCCCTTTCCTGAGAAAACAATCACCAGGAACACCAATTAATGCCCTCAGGCTTCCCGGCAGTCCTGGACAGTCCACCCTGCCGCTGCCCTTCTGAGTTGCCTGCTCTGTACAATTCCTGCCTCTTCACCGTCAAGCATTGCTTCTTACTGTTGTCAGTGTGTCTGTCTGCACCCTGCACCCTCTCTGCTAATCTGCCACAGCCTGGGAAAGGAACTAAGAAAACTTAGACTCACAATGAAAACAGGAATTAATACACTTTAGGGGAAACCCAGAGAAATTCTAAATACATGAATTCTGTTTTTTTTTTTTTTTTTTAACATCTGGTTTTCAATGGTGTTTTGCACAGCTGGGCTGCTACATAAGACTTTGAGTAAAGTGTTCCCCATGGTTAGCAAACCAGTGGACAGAAGTATGATACAAAGGAAGGAAAACTTACCTGAGTACCCCAGTTCTGGGACTAACTAGCAGGATTTGTCCATTCATTTGTTCAACAGATATTTATTGAACAGCTACCGCACACCAGACACTGTTTCAGTTGCTGAGGGTCCACTGACAAACAAACAAGACGGAGAGGGGCTTTAACTCTTGTGGGGAGCCCAAGGCGGGTGGATCCCTTGAGCTCAGGAGTTCAAAACCAGCTTGGGCCACATGGTAAAATCCCATCTCGACCAAAAATACAAAAATTAGCCAGATATGGTGGCATGTACCTGTAGTCCCAGCTACTTGAGGGGCTGAGGTGGAAGGATCACTTGAGCCCAGGATGTCGAGACTGCAGGAAACCGTGTTCATACCACCACCACTACACTCCAGCCTGGGCAACAATGAAAGTGAGGCCCTGTCTCAAACAAAAACAAAAACAAAACACAATGGGGAAGCTGAGGCAGGAGGACTGCTTGAGGCCAGGAGTTCAAGACCAGCCTGAGCAACATCGAGAGACCCCTGTCTCTAAAAATAAATAAATAAATTAGCTGGGCGTGATGGCACGCACCTCTGGTCCTAGCTACTCAAAAGGCCAGTGCAGGAGGATCGCTTGAGTCTGGGAGGTTGAGGTTGCAGTGAGCCATGATCTTCATGATCTCACCACTGAACTCCAACCTGCACAATGGAGTGAGACCCTGTCTCAAAACAGAAAAAAAACAAAAAACAACCAAGGAAGAGAATTGCTGAGTCAAGTGCTCTGAAGGCAGTGAATCGGGTGAAGTGGCAGGGCACCAGAGGGTGGCTCTTCGGATGGTAGGGGGCGGCAGGGGACAGTGGCTGGGAAGTGCTCTTGGAGGAGGAGGCACTGCTGCAAAGACCTGGAGGATGAGAAAAGGCCGGCCTGGCACACATTGGGGACATGCCTTCCAGGCCATGGGAACATGAAGCACAAGACGTCTAAGGCAGCGACGGGGCTGAGTGATCACAGATCAAAAAATCAGCAGCGGGAGCAGAGCCAGCTGAGCTCAAGCTCAGGGTGAGTGAGAGTGAGGGAAAGAAGACGCAGCTGGAGACACCGATGCACTCAGGGCCAAGGAAGAGTCTGAATTTTATTCCCAAACCCAGCCATGCACAATCCAACCTAGCCTGGAAATATGGCTGTTTGGTCTGCTGGATTGGAGGCACAGGGGTGGAGGATAAAATGGGGTTGAGGCAAAAAGAGAATGAAGGTTACCTCTAGGTTTGGGGTCACACAACAGGGTGTGTGGTGGAGCTCTTTGCTGAGAACGGGGAGGCCAGGCAGGAGGAAGCTCTTGAACAAACAAGAACCCTTGTTGCTGGGGGAAAAGGCAGGGCTGGGGACGTGACTGAAGCCTTGGGATCAGACTACAGGACCTAGGAGAATTCCTACATAGATAAGAGCTGGGAAAGACTGGAGGGGAAGAGAAGAGAAAGCACAGAAATCCTAAGCACAAAATATGCTCAGGGAATGGTTCGACATGTGGGAGGCTGCTTAGGAGAAGGGTCAGATGAGGCCAAGAGGTTTGGTGTCTGGATTCAGCAAGATGGAGGTAATGTTAATCTTGACAAGAGAAGTTTAAGTGCAGGAATGAGGACAATCAGTTTAATCTCTTGGGGCCTGGTTCCTCTGTCAAATGAGAGTATCCGAATAGAGGAGGTTTAAGTTTCCTACTATTTCATTAAGCCACATACTTTTTTTCAAAAAATGGGGAAAGAGGCCAGGCTGGGTGGCTCATGCCTTTACTCCCAGCACTTTGGAGGCCAAGGGCAGATTGCTTGAACTCATGAGTTCGAGGCCAGCCTGGGCAACATGGCGAAACCCTGCCTCTACAAATAATACAAAAATCAGCTGGTGGTGGCGCATGCCTGTAGTCCTAGTTACTCAAAAGGCTGAGGTGGGAGGTTGGCTTGAGCCCAGCAGGCTGAAGTTGCAGTGGGCCCAGACTGTGCCACTGCACTCCAGGCTGGGTGACAGAGCCAGACCTTGTCTCAAAAACAAAAGGGGGCAGGTGGGGGTGGGGGAACAAAACAATGATTAAGGATAAGAAGTCATAATAGGCTGGGCGCCATGGCTCACGCCTGAAATCCCAGCACTTTGGGAGGCTGAGGTGGGTGGATCACCTGAGGTCGGGAGTTTGAGACCAGCCTGACCAACATGGAGAAACCCTGTCTCTACTAAAAAAAGAAAAAAAGAAAAGAAGTCATAATAAAGAAAGCTATGCTACTTGGGAGTTTATTAGTCAAACAGGTTGTGTGATCATCAGTACTCATTTTTTTTTTTTTGCAGAGACAGGGTCTCTCCTTCTGTTGCCCAGGCTGCTCTCAAACTCCTGGGCTCAAGTGATCCTCCCACCTTGGCATCCCAAAGTGTTGGAATTACAGGTGTAAGCCACTGTGCCCAGCCATTAGTTCTCTTTTACACAGAAGTTATTAAGGATATTTGTGCAAATTATTAAATAAGCCAAGGAAACAATTAAAATAGAACAGTTAGTGGCCAGAATTCTTCTTAGCAGACCCAAATTATATAAATTGTACCATCAAAACAGTACCAAGACACTCTTCCTAGCTTATTATACAATAAAGATCCTTAAACCTTTTTTCTTTTTTTTTTTTTTTTGAGACAGTCTTGCTCTGTCATCCAGACTGGAGTGCAATGGTGCCATCTCAGCTCACTGCAACCTCCGCCTCCTGGGTTCAAGGGATTCTTGTGCCTCAGTCTCCCAAGTAGCTGGGATTACAGGCACGTGCCACCACACAGTGTAGGTTTCACTGTGTTGGCCAGGCTGGTCTTGAACTCCTGACCTCAGGTGATCCACCCTCCTTGGTCTCCCAAAGTGTTGGGATTACAGGCGTGAGCCACTGAACCTGGCCTTAAACATTCTTTCTGAACACAACACACATTTGGACTCCACCAAACGGTCACTTACCAGGTTGTCTGAGTCCTTAGTTGTTCCTGCACTCGCTCACCCACTCTGAAAGGACTGGCCACCCTTCCCAAGGTCAAAAAGGAATGTTAGATGATATCAGGAATTTGCATGCCAAGTTCATAGAACTTTATGATTCCATGAAATGTTTCTCTGTGGCTATCATCTCAGCCAGCGAAATGCTTACTGTGTTTTTCTTTTTCTTAAATAAACATTTCAGGCCAGGTGCAGTGGCTCCCACCTGAAATTCCAGCACTTTGGGAGGCTGAGGTGGGTGGATTACCTGATGAGTTCGAGACCAGTCTGGGTAACACGGTAAAACCCCCTGCCCACAAAAAATACAAAAACTAGCCCAGTGTGGTGGCGTCGCCTATAGTCCCAGCTACTTGGGTGAGGTGGGGGGATCTCCTGAGGTTGCAGTGAGCGGAGATCATGCCACTGCACTCCAGCCTGGGTAACAGAGCGAGATCCTGTCTCAAAAATAAAATAAAAATTTCAGACCAATAAAGAGGTAGCAAGGAGGCTATAAAGCAAACCCGTGGACTACCAGGCACCTTAGTCAAGTATTACCAAGGCAGTGGAAAACCTCCATGCTTCTCTCACTGTGTCATCACCCTGTCCTCCAGATTTAGTTACTGTCTTGCATTTTCCCCCAAGGTTATTAAGGGTGGAAAATAACCCCAATCCTTGTTTTGCCAAGAGTACTCTTTATATATTTCCCCATTGCCTACTGACTGTTGTTTTGAAGTGACTAGAACTAGATAGAGCTTTAGTCACTTTTTCGTTACTGGTTGAGATTAACCCGGCACCAGTATGGAGATAGGCTCCAAGGTGATTTGATAGAAAGCCTGCCTATCAGTGGATGTGACTGTTCTGGATACAACGGTTCCAGTCCGTGACACTGTTCCGAGCTTCCAGGAGGGCTGTCCTTCCTCACTTTACTTTAACCTTGTCTGAAGAACTCCCAGGAAGTTACCAACAGCCCTTCACCAAGTTCAAGAGGCAGACTTATGATTACCCTTCTCGAGCTGAAAAACTGAATAATGGAAACCTGGCAGTGAAGGGTCATTCAAGGTAAATACCTAGACTAACAACATAGTCCTGGCTCCAATGTTTCCTCACTTCCTTCTAAGGCATTGAGTATCATATATTAACAAAAGGATGACTTTCAAACACAGGGAACAGCTTCACAAATGAGGGCTGAAAGGACAGGCAAGCAAAACATGTGTCAAGGTCCTGCCACATCCTAAGTCAGTTGTTCTCAAATTATGGTGTACATCAAAATAACGTGGGGACTTGTTAAAGATATAGATTCCTAGGAGCTGCCTGAGACTTAGTGAGCCATCATTCCTGGAGAAGGGCACTAAGAGTGATTCTAATGCATATTCAAGTTTCAACACAGCTGGAGTTGAGTCTTCTGTGTGTGCTGGGGGGCAGGGGTTTAGGTTCTAAACCCTAATGAAAATAAATTACCCTTAGAAAATCTGAAAACATCCGTAAGATACACTGTAGGTGTTTCCTTGGTGGGCAGAACAGTATAGTAACATGTAAATGCAATGTGTCATGCTTACAGTAATGATAAGGAATGCATGTACAAATATGACTTTATACTATTTTAACTTAAGAAAAATTATATAGCATCCCTCTGTATCCACAGATTGGTTTCAAGACCTCTGAGGATGCCAAAATTCTGCAATGACCAAGTTCCTGACAAAAAACGGTATAGTATTTGCATATAACGTACAAAATCCTCCTGCATATCTTAAATCATCTCCAGATTACCTATGTCATATAATGTTACTACTTGTTATACTATATTCTGTATTGGATTTTTATTAGTATTTTAATTGTAATTTTTTTTTAAATTTTTTCCAAATCTTTTCCATCCAACGTTGGCTGATTCCATGAATGCAGAACCCACAAATACAGAGGGCTGATTGTACATATAAGTTGGGTGAGTTAAATGCTCATATGATACGACTCAGTGACACAAGAATACCATGAAATACATATTATCATTTCCGTTTTACAGATGAAGAGACGGATGCTGAGTCAGGTTGACAGACTTGCCCAAACTAACCATGTTGGAAGTACAGGAAGCAGAATTCAGACTTAGTTCTGTTTGCCTCAAAAACCTGCCATCGTTTCATTTTTATTTTATTTTATTTATTTTTTGAGACGGAGTTTCGCTCTTGTTGTCCAGGTTGGAGTGCAATGGTGCGATCTCAGCTCACCACAACCTCCACCTCCCGGTTGGTTTCAAGCGATTCTCCTGCCTCAGGCTCCCAAGTAGCTGGGGTTACAGGCATGTGCTACCATGCCCAGCTAACTTTTTGTATTTTTAGTAGAAATGGGGTTTCCCCACGTTGGCCAGGCTGTCTCGAACTCCTGACCTCAGGTGATTCGCTCGCCTCAGCCTCCCAAAGTGCTGGGATTACAGGCTTGAGTCATCACACCCGGCCATTTCATTTTTACCACACTGCCACAGGCCACTTCATTTTTCAGCATTCCCCTAAAGGGTAAAGTTCAGAAATGCTCTTCAAGGTCTTGGGGCACGGCTATTTCAAATATTCAATTTATAAGACAGTATACTTCAAACAGAGTGAGATAAAAATTAGATTAGAGGCATATTCTATTATCAGAGTTAGGAACCCAAATTGGCTAACCAGGCTCTAGGCAATGATAAGGCGGTGGAGGTACTGATGTCCAATTGGAAACATTATCAGTACAGGTATTTTAAATAGCTTTCATAGTTTCCTTTCTACTGCAGTTACCATTATATCTTCATTTTATTTATTTATTTATTTTTGAGACGGAGTTTTGTTCTTGTTGCCCAGGCTGGAGTGCAATAGCACCATCTCAGCTTACCGCAACCTCCACCTTCCAGGTTCAAGCAATTCTCCTGCCTCAGCCTCCCGAGTAGCTGGGACTACAGGTGCGCACCACCAAGCCCAGCTAATTCTGTATTTTTAGTAGAGATGGGGTTTCTCCATGTTGGTCAGGCTGGTCTTGAACTCCCGACCTCAGGTGTTCCACCTGCCTCAGCCTCCCAAAGTTCTGGGATTACAGGCGTGAGCCACCGTGCCTGGCCTATATCTTCATTTTAATAAAAAAGAAATTCAGGCCAGGCGCGGTGGCTCACACCTGTAATCCTAGCACTTTGGGAGGCCGAGGTGAGCGGATCACCTGAAGTCAGGAGTTCAAAACCAGCCTGGCCAACATGGTGAAACTCCATCTCTACTAAAAATACAAAAAATTAGCTGGGCGTGGTGGCGGGTGTCTGTAATCCCAGCTATTGGAGAGGCTGAGGCAGGAGAATTGCTTGAACCTGGGAGACAGAGGTTGCAGTGAGCCGAGATTGCGCCATTGCACTCCAGCCTGGGCAACAAGAGTGAAACTCCGTCTAAAAAAAAAAGGAAAGGAAAGGAAAGAAATTCAGTCTTTCAGAGGGAATACACTTACCTGAATAGAGGTCAAAGTCTCAGAAGAGGCCTCCCTCCTCTCTCTGACCTCTGAAATGCCCTGGACCTGCAAGTGGGAGATTACAGGCCCTGACAAGGGTTGCCCAAACAGCAGTGTGGCACTAGGAAGGCAGGTTAAGCATCAATTACTATGATGCTAGCACAACTTAAGCACTCTGCATGCACAATCTCATTTAATCCTTACAAGTGTATGTAGGAGGGGCTACTAGTATGTTCATTCAACAAACTGGGATACAGAGTTTGGAACTTCACCCAAAGTCACTAGTTTCTCTACCAGGATAGATTTAAGTGCTTACTGTCAGGTACTGTTCCAGGCATCTTATATGTACTAACTCATTATCCCCATTACAACCCTCTGATACAGGTGCCATAATTATGCCACTTTACAGACGAGAAAACTAAAAGCAGAAAGGGAGCAGTAAACCCAGGAGATGAATTCTGGAGAAGCTCTCTGGTTTCAACCTTTAGCCAACATCACAATCACCTGAAGGGCTTGTAATACACTGATTGCTGGGCCCAGTCCTAGAGTTTCTGAATCCTAAGGCTGAGCAACACCTAATTTCCACTTCTGCAAGTTCCCAGTGAATGCTGTTGCTGCTCGTCTGGAAGCCAGACGTTGAGAACCCCTTCTAGAGTGAGGTCTCCCGCAACAAATTCTACCGGCCCCCAAAGCACGTGTTTTGTGTGTCTTAAAAATTTGTTGAGTACCATTAGCAAAAAACAAACAAAAAAACTTAATTCCTAGAATTTCAGAGAAATCCCATGGAGTTTTTTGCTAGTCACGTCAAAAGAGGCCACAAAGTGCCGCTTAACCAGAGCTTCGGAAGACAGCGGCTGGGCCGGCCACGTGCACCGAGACTTGGGGCCAGGTGCAGCCGCCCCAGGGCCGGGGTATCGGAAAGGGCCCCCGGTCCCAGCCCCAAGCGGCCCAGCAATTCCCCCGGGCCGTCCGCCCCTCCAGATTTATTTACGTTTTCCTGACTTCCCCCTGCCCGCCGTGGGACAAACAGCCTCCCCACTTGCATCTGCGCTGGGAGTAGCGCGTACTTCCGCCAAATTCGCCTCCGAGCCCGAGTCCCGGCCGCCGCCATCTTGCGGGGGGCGCACCTCACAGGTCGGGAGCTGGGCGGGAAGGGGCGTGGCCCCGGGACCCGCCCCGCCAGGGCTCTTGGGAGCGCGGGCAGCCAGCGCACTCGGCGGACGCCAGGGCGGCGGGGAGCACACGGAGCACTGCAGGCGTCGGGTGAGGCGTACGGCGGCGGGGGTCGGGGCGGGGGTTCCTGACGGAGGGACCGGGTGGGCGGCGGGAGCTCGGATGCAGGTACGGCGGGCAGCCTGGGGGGCGCGGCGCGGGTCTCTGCCCGGCACTCGAGGGGCAGTGGAGCTGAGCCGGCCAGCGGCCCCGCGACCTTCCCCTCGGCACCAGGTCCCCTCTCCCGAAGGAAACGCGGAGCCTGGGTGCCTGGGCGCCGTCCCTTGGCGGCTCCCGGGCGGTTGCAGTTTTTGAAAGAGTTTCTCAAAGGCGTGACGGTTGCGATTGCAGCCGCGGGGCAACCGTTGCTACACAAAGTGAAACTTGCCGAGTGCTCGGCTCCTCACGGGCTTCCTGGCAGCCCTGGGAAGTTCCTCGGCTGACCCCGAGCCCGCGCCCTCTCTCCACGGACCCCTCCCCGCCGAGTGCCCCCCGGCCATGCGCCCCCTCTCCCCTGACCCCTCCCTGCCGAGTGCCCCGAGGGCTCGCGCCGGCGCTCCCGGGACTCCTTTCTCCTAGGTGATTCCCCCTGCCCCTCGCCCTCTCTCCCCCAGGCCCGCGCTCCGTCTTCCCGGGCCTTTCCCCGCCGGGTACCCCGGGCCCCGCGCCCTCTCTTCTCCACTTCTCTCAGCCAGGTGCACCTGGAGTGCCCCCCAGACCCCTTCCCGCCCGGTCGGCGCTCTTTCCCCCATCCCTCCCCGCCGAGTGTTCCCCGGGGCCCGTGCCCTCTCCCCCCGACCCTCTCCGCCGAGCGTTCCCCCTGCCCTATATCTCCCGGACCCGCGTCCCCCACCAGCCCCTTAATGCTGGGGGTCCCCGGGTGCGCATCCCCTCTCTCCGGACCCCCCCAACTGGGGGCACCTCGAGTGCCCGCCGGCTGCCCCTTGGGCGCGCGCCCCCGCGCTCAGGCCCCTCCTCGCCGGGGGCCCCGCCCGGCCGCGCCCCCTCCCCGTGCCCGCAGTGCTGGGCGGGGCGCTGACTCACCCCGGCCCGGGCTGGCCGGTTCTTAAGCGGCGGCGCGCGGCGGGCGCGGAGTGTCGGGCGCGGCAGGAGGACGAGGCAGGGCCGACCGGCGCTCTAAGGGCTCTGCTTTGACTCCAGGTTGGGACAGCGTCTCCGCTGCTGCTGGAGAGTCGTGTTTCCGGGGATCGAGGATACTCAACAGGAACCGAAAATGCCGAAACCAGTAAGTTGCCCAGTTTCTGGGACGGGCGGACGGGGGAGGCTTCATTGGCGAGGGGAGGCACCTGCACGAGGTGTTGGGGCAGTTCCTGGTGGAAGAAGGCTTTTCTCACACGCAGAAGAGGATAGGAATAGGGGGTTGTCGCCGCTCTTTGTTACTTGTTGGCCCTTTTGTGGAGCGTTAGGAAAACACCATTTTGATGCTTTTCTCTGCAGTCTTTTTCTTTGTGAGCCCCCTCCCCAGTAGTTACGATCTTCTCTAAAAACTAGAGGCCCTTTTACACTGCTTCCGTCTGTTTTTAAAGGGTATGGTAATGCAACTTCGAATTTTCTTAAAAAGTCCAAATCACAGGGAGACTCAAATGGCCTCCGACCACACACACCAGCTCTCAGAGTTCCTAAGGGTCCGAAACCACAGGCGCCCAAGATCCAACTGGGGAGATTTAAAGGGCGTTTGGGAGAGGAGACTGGCTTTCGGAAGTTGCCGTTCAGCTTCGCTTCCTACGAGGCCCATGAAGCGGTGCCCTGTTCACCAGGAAACTTACTGGCTGCAGCAGAATTTCTGTCTCTTAACAGAAGGTTAGCCATGGACTTGAATTGTAGATGCAGGCAGTCGGCGGAGTTTGATGAGCGGCTCTTGGCACGCTGGGCCGAGCACTCCTGGTCAACTGATGAAAGGGCTGTGCCTGCGCCTCTGTCTCCTTGAATCTGATTGTGTTGAGATTGCTGGCTAGGCCTGGGGGTTGTAGGCAAAAGGCAGGTTCTCTGGGACTGACACTTCTTAGAAAGTTGTATGTATTCTACCTGCTTTTAACGCTGGGGAACTAGTGACTATTCGGGAGAAGGTTTAACATTTTTTGAGTTTTGAATCACAGTGGACAAAATAACAGGGTTCATTACAAACTGGGATTACAGATACATCCGGATTTTTTTTCTGGTTTTTCAAACAAGTTGGTTCTGTAATCAATGATTGTGTGCCTTTTTTTTTTTTTTTTTTTTTTTTTGTTGGGGGAGGTAGGTGGTGGGGAGCAGAGTCTCCCTCTGTCGCCGGGGCTGGAGTGCAGTGGCCTGATCTCAGCTCACTGCAACCTCTGCCTGTTGGGTTCAGGCGAATCTCCTGCCTCAGCCTCCCGAGTAGCTGGGATTACAGGCATGTGCCACCATGCCCAGCTAAATTGTGTATTTTTGTAGAGAGGGTGTTTCACCATGTTGGCCAGGTTGGTCTCAAACTCCCGACCTCAGGTGATCCGCCCACCTCGACCTCCCAAAATGCTAGGATTACAGGCGTGAGCCACCACACCCGGCCTTGGTGCTTTTTCTACTCTTAAATTTTATGTTCTTTAAGAAGATGTTTGTTAGAAGTATTAATTTTGCTGTTAGGTTAGAGAATATTAATATGCCAATAGATTCAGAAGCCAATATCATTTTTGCCTAAGTTACATTAAGATTTATTTGCGGTGCAGAGTATTTTCTATACAAAATTTTTCTTTTTAATTCAAACTTAAAAGTGACACGTGACATCCAGGCTTGACAGTGCATGTGGTATGAAACTGACCTAAGTACAACCCCTTACTTAGGCAGAGCTGAGTGCAAGGGTATGCAGAGGAGTGGTCAAGATTACCCTTCTGGGTGTGGTTTTCTTTATTTCACTAAAAGAAGAGATGCAGAGCTCAGCTAAGATAGCACTCAGGAAAAAGTTAACCTGTTCTTAGTCACTACTTTTCTTTCTCATAATGAATGGTAATTTATTTTTCTGGTTTCTTTTTTGTATCTTGGTAAAATATACAATTTATCCTCTTACTTTTAGGTTTACATTTCAAAGGTATTAAGTACATTTACATTGTTACATCGCCATCACCAAGGTCTATCTCCAGAACTTTATCTTCCCAGATTGAAACTCTACCCATTAAACTCTCCCTCCCCATCCCCACCACCAGCCCTTGGCAACCACCATTCTACTTTCTGTCTCTGTGAATTCCACAACTCTAGATACCTCATATAGGTGGAATTGTGATAGCATTTGTCCTTTTATGGTAGTCTCATTTCCCGTAGCATAATGTCTTCAAGGTTATCCATGTTGCATTGTCAGAACTCCGTTCTCTCTTTTATTTCTTGTGGCAGGTATATTTTCATTTTGTTTTGTTTTAAAGGTGTTTTATGATAGATCAGAACTTAAAAGATGTTTCTGACATTTGACAAAGTGAAGATAGTTGTGAAACAGTTAAGGAAAGACAGTAGCCATCACCTTGTGTATTAGAGCTAGAGTTACTCTTTGAAAGACTGTATTTTGTATAATATCTACAATTAGAATTTTCAAACCTTTTTTGAGGCCAGGCAAGGTGGCCTGATGACAGGCATGAGCCTGTAATCCCAGCACTTTGGGAGGCTGAGGCAGGCAGATCACATGAGCCCAGCAGTTCAAGACTCGCCTGGCCAACATAGACTCTGTTTCTACAAAAAAATAGAAAAATTAGTTGGGTGTGGTGGCCTGCGCTCTGACTGAGCTATTGGGGGTGGAGGCTGAAGTGGGAGGATTGCTTGAGCCCCGGAGGTCAAGGCTGCAGTGAACTGAGATCAAGCCACTCCATTCCAGCCTGGGCAGCAGAGTGAGATGTTGTCTGAAAACAAACACAAACCTTTTTTGAGAGGCTTCCATTTAGTTCAGCCATACCTGTCTGCCATGGGAAATTTCTCCCTTCCCCTTCTTTGGCAGAGGAGGGTCTTAGAAATAAATTAAACACAGTAAGCCTTTCTGTGTGTAAATTATATTAGAGCCATCCCACAAATCACTGATAAGAGCATAGTAGGTTGCACATACTTGAATATGACACTTCGTAAGGCTGCTAGAGAGGATCCAGTTAGTTTTGGTTTGGTTTGGGGTTTTTTTGCTGCCTGAGTAAATGTTAAAATGAAACATCCACCAACAGCTCTATGGATGTGTCTTTTAAACAAAGGTTTATTGATTCTAATTATTCAAGCTCAAGTTAAGAATGTTAGCAAAGAATGTTAGGTGGTTTTGTTGGGCTTAATGTTTAACAACTGGATTAAGGGGCAACCACACTTAAAGGATGGATACCTCTGAGTACTTGGCCTTCCACCTGATTCACTGCAACTGTTAACCCTTGAATTCAACAGGCAAAGTATTTTTGATTGATTTGTCTGAACTGAGTGGATGACTTTATGCATAAAACAGTATAACTGAAAATATTTATTTGCTGTGTTTTCTCCTAATACTATTTCCCAAAAGCAACACTTACTTAAAAGACTGAGGCCGTGCACAGTGGCTCATGCCTGTAATCCCAGCTCTTTGGGAGGCCGAGGTGGGCGGATCACAAGGTCAAGAGATTAAGACTATCCTGGTCAACATGGTGAAACTAAATGTCTCTACTAAAACTACAAAAATTAGCCAGGCATGGTGGCGGGCACCTGTAGTCCCAGCTACTTTGGAGGCC